TAGGTGAGTTAATTGACTTAAAAAAAAAAAAAAAAAAATAAAGTAAAAATAAAACTTGATATAATACAAACATTTTTTTGCAGTTTACTCTATGTTTGCATTAAGCGAATATGGAGTTGTTCTTTCAAATATAGGATTTCATTCAACAACAGCTTGGGATTTTGCAAATTCTTCTCTTATGATATCAGGAAAAGGATTTAGAATAATTTAATATTGTACAAAAATTATTATTTTTAAACATCTCTATGAAAGGTATTTCTATATTAATTTTTTTATATTACTAAATTTATTTAAATGCAATTTTTTATATTTTATTATTATAATGAGAGATATTAATTTTTATTTTTATTTGAATAGAAATTATTTTGACTAAAAATATTCCCAAAGCAATCGTCATCGTTTGTGTGAAATACAGAAGTTACATGCATATTTGTAAAAAGAAAAAATAGAAGAAAAATTAAGAAATGAAAAAGATCAGATGAATTAAAATCATTTATTATAATAATATATATCAAAATATAAATATTTTTAGAAACTATTTTTTTTAATAAAAAAATTTTGCAATAAAGAAGAAGATAAAGTATGTTTTATTGCACGTTACGGTATGTACATAAGTCATGAACACATTATTTTCAAAATGCACATATTTTTTTACGTATTTATTTTCAAATATAAATTTTTATTTTTATATGTATTAACACGGATTATTTTTAAATTTGGTATCCGAATTTCTTGTCGGACTCGTCAGAATTTAAAATCTTTTTCTAGTTTATCAGCAATATATTTAGCAATCGCCATGGAACTAGTTGCAGCAGGAGAAGGTGCATTGCGACAATGTATTACTCTCTTACCGATATTACCTTTTCCTCCATCGAAAACAAAATCATCTACTAAATTGCCATTTTTATCCAATGCTTGCGCTCTAACACCTGATGGCCCCCTATAATTAAACGTAAAATGCAATCAATAACTTAAATAGTATATTTATAATATGATAGAATATGAAGAAAATATTCTTTTCTTTACCTTTTTATATCTCTAATAGTTACTTCGGGGATAAATTTTTGTAAATCTCTTATTATAAGTGGATAAAAAATTGATTTAATCATATCTCTTAATCCTGGTACAAAATGTCGGATACATAATTTGTACAGTCCTGGAAATTTTGCCATTTCTATACAATCTTTTATATTTATATCGCGCCACCTAAGAATATATTATAATTAATCGTTATATTCGATCGTTAAATATATTTATTTCGTACCGATAACCCTCTCTTGAAAATGCTAAAACTGCATTTGGACCAAGCCATATTTCGCCAGTGATTCTAGGTGTAAAATGAACGCCTAAAAATGGTAATCTAGGGTCTGGAACAGGATATAAATTGGTGTTGCATAAATTTCTTTTGCTTTCGCTCAACAACAAATATTCTCCCCGAAAGGGAATAATTTGTGGGCTACGATCGCATCCTGTCATTATTGCTAAACGGTCCGAATGTAGCCCAGCGCATGTTAACACGTATTTTGTTGGTAAACACTACGATAATAGAATATGATAAAGATATTGCAAATTAAAAATAGCTATACGTGAAAGTTTTAATATACTTTATCTTTCGAATGCACTGAAATTGGAGTTAATTCATTTGCCCCTTTAGATTCTGTCATCTCTGAGAAACCAACAACTTCAAAATTTAAAAGTATTTTTCCACCCATTTTTTGAAAATCTTTGCCAAAATGTTTACAAACTTCTGCCCAATTGACTATACCTGTCCATGGTGACCATATTGCTTTTTCTCCCTATAGAAAACACACGTATTTCTTATTATTTTATTTTTAAACTTAATATTAATTTTTTTTTTTATTCTCTTTTTATGATTTCAAAAATAAAATAATGTTAATACTTTGCATTTAGCTTCGTAATTTGATATACAATGTTTTTCAACTATTTGGATATCCGGTACATTATTTTGAATTGCTCGATCGTACAAGATATCCAATTGTTTGACTTGTTCTTTACTGTGAGCCACTATTAGTTTTCCAACTTTTTTGTGAGATATATCGTGTTTACAAAAATAGTCGTAACTCAGTTTTAAACCTTCCACACATAGTCGTGCCTGCAATTATTTCCTGCCGGATCAAAAATCCCTTAACGAAGCGTTATTCTATTATGCAATTTTAAATGCCACATATTTAAACAAAATAATATTTCTCTCGGAAGAAAGAGGCGAATTAGGAAAAATGTACAATTATTGCTATATTTTTACTTTCATAGAGCCAGGCTTGTAATAAATGCCAGCATGTACTACACCGCTATTATGCCCTGTTTGATGTTTTGCTAGCTCATTTTCTTTTTCAACGATTGCTATCTTTAAGCTAGGATGTCTTATTAACATTTCTCGACCAGTAGCGCATCCAACAATACCACCCCCGACAATAACTAGATCGAACGAGCTACATGAATCTGGACTGAAAATGATTATACGCGTAATTTAATTTAATATAGAATTGAAAAAATAACAAATCACATTAATTATACGTGCATGAATTCATGTAACTTCTTTTATCTTTATCTATTTATTAACAGAAATGAACTCATCAATGTACAAATATAGCAGAGAAAAATATGGATTTTAGAAATTATGAAAGATAATGTGCATAATAATAAAATAATGAAATTGAAATTGCGAAATTGATAAAAAAAATTTTAATTGAATTAAATAAAAAATAATGAATACTTGAATATAGATCAATAATTGATATTAAGAATGACTTGTAAAATAATGATACTGAAAAATAGAGTTACATTTAAAAGTTAGATTTAATGCATTGCACGTTATAAAATCAACTAACTTGGAAGTAGTAGTGGTAGAGGTGGTACTAGTAGTGGTAGTAGCAGCAGCTTTACATCCAAAACGACGTATATAAATAAGTTGCTGTAACAAAATTCTTTTTGTCAAGAATGCAAACATGTTTGTTTTTGCACACTGATTTATCACTTTAAATTTTTCTAAAAAGGAAAAGATATAGATTTATTAAAATTTTTAAGAAACTTATTTTTCAATTATTATTATTATCAAAGTTATTGATACTATTTATTATTAAGAATTTAGCTATGAAATTTCGGAACAGGAATTGTCTTATATGCTATATGTTAAATTTAATTGAATTAAAAAAAAATCATCGTTACCGAATATCAATGTTATGTTTAGAAATATGTTTGCAAATAAAGGTTGATCTCTTCAATTAACGCTGCATTACGATGCTTTTGATGATATATTTAACACTGTAAGTACGAGTGTAATAAAAGGCACATGTGTTAACCAATGACCAATGAAGAAAACGCAACTGAGAGGAAACATACCATGTTCTTACCTGTAAATTTTCAAAAAGGTATCATTTCATGTTATGATGTTATATTTGCAAAATATCACCTAATGATAATTTGCTTACCGAACTGAGAAATGTATACATAGTTCTGACGTCAATTTTCAGTGTTTGCCTGATGTCGCTTGATGAAGTTCTATTACCTAGTATGTGGCGCCTCCACACATTTTTTTTCAATATCAAATTTGACGATGATGTTTCATTAATAAATTTCTTTTATGCTAATTAAATGCAATATAGAATCAGTGTAGAAATAAAGAAATGTATACATGTAATTTAAAATCAGAATTTTATAAATAATAAGAAAAAATGATTTTCATTTATATATATTTCTAACGAAATTATTTATTTTTTTATATTATTTTAAAAAATAAGATAATATAATCAATGATTTAACATTGAATCCATTTTTTTTATTCTCAAATATATAAATATCTTTTATTTGATTTTATTTTTTTCACATTGAATAGAAAATGAGCCAATGATAAATAGTAAAAATATGATGATATAGAAAAAAAAAAGAAATTTTATAATTAGAGATTATAGTAAAAAAGATCAAAATAGTATTATATACTGAATTTGTCAATATTCATGACTGAAAATATTAAAGGAAAAATATATATGTATATGATAATGAAGTATTAAATATTAAATATTAAGAAAATCGATTGATAAATATTGAAATAAATTTTAATGCAATAAAATTAAAAAAAATATAAATATATTTTTATAATAATTAAGTTCTTATATTTTTTTAAAGATATATTATGAAAAAAATATTAAAAATATTATTTGTGATTATTAATATTTTTTATAATATTATATAAAAGTTTAATAATATTGATGGCATGTTTTTATTGAAATATAATGTATAATACATATACTTAAATATACATAATATAGAAAATAAATAAATATAAAAGAAATGTAATATAATGAAAAATAAATGTGTTATTATGAAGGTCGGGTGGTAAGTGGAGAGAGTCGTCCCTGAGCCATGGTGCGCAGTTGTGATGCGCGAAAGTATTACGGCGTCGGGAGTCAGTCAACTCGGTGACGTTCTACAGTGAATGTCGTATGGTGAATTTGTTATGCCGGTATTTACGAAACTGAAACGAAGTGGTAATTTAACGCATACACATGTATTTTCAAGAGTGTATCGTGTAATTATAATAATAGTTTAATCGTTAAACGCATCAAATAGGCGTAGTTAAGAAGAAAAAGATACGAGTTGCAGTTGGGGCGTCTCTACAAACTAGAGCAGCGAACAATGTAAAGTCGATATTTTTACAAATTTCATGTGATGTATGTGCAATCCATAGGCGAAGGATAATCAATCAAGAGAAGAGATTAAATTGATCAAAATGATTTATATAAACGAATATGATTTGATTTGAGAATGTATCCATATAGTGGTTCATAATCGTGACGAATGAATCGTGAAAGCATTATCGAAATAAAATTTCTACTTTTCTTCGCGAACGAATAGTGAATAAGCGTACGTTGTCATTTTCGTTCCGTTATTATTGCTAAAGACTTGAAAGAAAAATATACAGAAAGATAGACAGATATAATATTATATTAGGCGTGGAACGAAAGGTATGTTGAAAAAAAAAAATCATAAGAAGAAGGCATAGTGCAAACGATTGAAAAAATTAGGAAAGAAAAAAAATACAATCGAAATAAGGAAAAGAGAGAAAGAGGGGAGCCAGGATCGGTTGGAAGAGAGTCGGACGGTCGAGGTCGTCGGTGAAGTAGAAGGCGCGAAGCGCGCGCGCGACGAGTTTCTCGTCGTGACGAGTCGTGAGGATGGAGGACGAGTTACGATGCCCTTGTTGTAAAGAATTGTTCGTTGAACCGGTGCTATTACCATGCTGGCATGCTCTTTGTCTTGCGTGCGCGGTTAATCTGCAAGCACCACCGGATTCACCTCCAGAATCGACGACTGACTCGTCGAATGCACCGGGATCTGATCAGGAAGCGGATAAACTTTCGATTCTTTCCGAAACGGATTCTGGTGTAGTGTGCAGCAGCACATCAACTAGCTCGCGACCAGGAAGCTATGTCGGCACACCCGGAAACGGAGGTTTTCCACCATCAGGCGGCACTTTATGCCTCTCCTGTCCTGTTTGTCAGAAAACCGTTTATTTTGACGAAGGAGGAGCTCACAATTTACCCAAATACAGGGCAATGCAACATATCGTAGAAAAATATCAAGAATCGAGAAACACGAGACTGCAATGTCAAATGTGTGAGGCTGAACCCCGGGACGCTACCGTCGCCTGCGAACAGTGCGAGGTCAGTAAACGCTTGCCTCTTTATCTTATTCCTCATTTTCTTTCCTAGTACATGTATTAAATACATGTATTTTTCTAGATTATAATTATATTTAATACCTATAGAAGGAAATTATTGTATCTCAAATGATTATATATAATAACAAACTGTATCGTGATACACAATCTACAAATTTTTCGGCAAAATAGAAATAAATACTAAATGTTACAGACTTATATATTTATAGAGAGATATATGATGAATGTGTTTCAGGTTCTGTATTGCGACGCGTGCAGAGAATCGTGTCATCCAAAGAGGGGACCTTTGGCGACGCATAACTTGGGCCCGCCTCGAGGCAGCTGGCAATCGAATGGAGGAGGTAAAGGTGTTCGCGGTTCGAACGCGGAAACTACGCCTCTCTGTACCGATCATAACGGCGAACCGTTGACCCTTTACTGCGCTCTTTGCAAGATCGCGATATGCGCTCTTTGTCTTCGAGATCGCCATGCAGCTCATCCCCACGATGTGCTCCCATTGGCCGCAGCTTGCAAGGCTCAAAAGGCGAGTGTTTTTAATGTTTTTATTTTTGTTTAATTTTATTTATCGTCAATAAAGATCGATGATCAATAAAAATCGATGAATGTCGATCTTTTTTTTTTTTTTTTTACG